AAAAAAAAAAAAAAAAAAAAAAAAGGCATTCCTAGGTAGTCTCACCTCGCAGACCTTCCACCTTTCCAATTGTGGTAAGCGCATGAAAGGTGTTCCGGTACACTTGGCCCGTAACAGCTGCATACTGTTGATGTCAACATAATCGCAGAAGAGGGCCATAAAGGGAGGGAACACCCCTAAGTCAGCATACAGGAAACCGACAAAACCCAAAAAACAGGGAGCATAAAAACAAAGGAAGGGGAAGAGAGAGAGAGAGAGAGAGAGAGAGAGAGAGAGAGAGAGAGAGAGAGAGAGAGAGAGAGGAAAACAAGGATAGAGAAAAAGAAAAAAAAGAAAGGACAGAAAGAACAGATGGAATGGAGAAAAGCAAGTCTCAGAAAAAAAAGGGAAAAAAAAAGCAATGCACAGCGCTAGCAGCTAAAAGCAGGTGATGGGAAATGTGAAGAGAAGCCCTGCTGGGGCGGGGTCCCACTAGCAAAGAGGATTGGATTGACTGCAGGAATGTGGACGCATTCGTGGACTGGTGCAGAAAATCGAGATTGAATCATTGAACTGCTTTTCTGCATCTGAGCATTAAAACAGCACCAGATTCAGGTGCTTAATCCAATCCTCTTTGCTAGTGGGACCTCGCCCCCGGGGGGCATCACAACCATCGATTTCACATCAATGAAAGATGGGCGCCATCATCGCCACCATGCGAAGAAGATTAGCATGGTCCCTTCACAAGGACGACACACAAAAATATCCTTTGAAAAAAAAAACTAAAAATCCACATGGAGTCCTACGCACCATACTTGCAACCGCACGAGCCGCACATTCGTCCGGAGTTCCGTGCGGGGGGTGCCTGTGCGGAATCGTGCAGGTTTTTTATTTTATTATTATTATTTTATCTTTTTGGGGGAGGGGAAACAGGGGGGCGTATGACAGGAAGACGGGGATATGGCAAAGAGAGGGGGATATGGAGAGGAGGAGGAGGATGTGGACGAGGAGGACGACAAGGATAGCGAGGACGACGAGGAGTCGTCGAGATGGGGGAGGAGAAGAGATGGACGGAGGGAAAAGAGGAAGGGCAGGGTGAGGACGAGTGGGAGGAGGAGGAGACATGGACGGCGAGGAAGGGGAGGATAGGAGGAAGGAAAGGAGACGAGGAGGCATGGAAGATGAGGAAGTACGAGGAGGAGGAGACAAGGAGGAGGCGGAGGAGGAGGAGGAGGAGGAGGAGGAGGAGGAGGAGGAGGAGACGAAAAGGAGAAGGGAGGAGGAGACATGGAGGATGAGGAAGGGGACGAGGAGCAAGGTGANGGGAGGAGGAGACATGGAGGATGAGGAAGGGGACGAGGAGCAAGGTGAGGCAGTACTACTATAATTTTTTTTTTTCATCTCGCTTATAATTTTGGCGGGGGGCCTCAAATTCACCGTTTCGACCCCGGCCTTTTTTTTTTTTTTGAGGGGGGTGACGGGTCGTTCCCCGCACACGTCGTGCGCCGCACGGGATCGGTTGGGCGCGTGCGCCGCACGTAGAGAACCGCCCGCACGACGTGCACTTGCATGTATGCTACGCACACATACACATAGCGCCAACACCACTTCTTTTTTTTCGTTTCTTTGTTTAAACCACTAGTACCTCCGAGCCTATTTCTGACAAGTTCTTGCCGAGCCCAACGTCGATAAATCTGATCGGCGGCGGTCGTTTCGTTTCAGCCTCCTGAAAGGTCGGAGGCCGAGTATTTTTGAACCGACAAAGGTACTAGTGGTTTAAAAAAACAGAGCCGTCACTATACCAGGGAGGATGGGAGAGGGAGGGAATTCTCCATCTCTAGATGCCTGTCTGTTGTCAAGCACCTGAAGGAGAGGCATGGGTGAAGAGGGACAACAGAGTGAAAAGAAAACACATGCAGCCCACCTGACCTCCTTGCGCATCTTTTTTTTTTTTTTTTTTACCTCCTTGCCTGTCTTGATCATCGTCGCCCTTCCTGACAAGGTCTTGTTATCTGAACACACATGCAGCCCACCTGACCTCCTTGCGCATCTTCTTTTTTTTTTTTTTTTACATGCAGCCCACCTGACCTCCTTGCGCATCTTTTTTTTTCTTTTTTTTACCTCCTTGCACATCTTGATCACGGTCTTCAGGCGCTTAACAACAAGCAGGAATCTGGAGAAGGAGAGGTATGGGTGAAGAGGGACAACTAGACAGCGAAAAAAGAAACAAGCACCATCACTATTGGTGCTGACGAAGGTTGCGTCATCAAAACACATGCAGCCTACCTTACCTCCATGCGCGTCTTAATCACCGTCATCGGGCAAAGCAAGGTGGCGGCGACTGATCTCGTAATCACTCCCGCAGCAGCGTATAGCCCAGGCGGGACCTTCCCATCGATGACGGCCTCCTTCGGCTGCTGTTGATTGAAGACTATGCCCTGGTCTGCCGGGCCGCCGGAAAGCATCGGCTCTACGGGCGTGTAAATAACACGAAGGCCTGCAAGCATATGGTCAAGAAGGGCGAAGTACAGCCCGGCACCCAGACCCACCCTCAAACATGTTGGCCCCAAACCCCTCCAGAAGCCTAGTACGCCCTGCGATCAAGCCAGCACAGCCCCAATCACCCACGCACACACAAGACGGAAGGAGGTGCTCTCCGTTAGGTGCAACCCACCCCACACAAGAAAGAAGGAGGTGCTCTCCGTTAGGTGCAACCCACCAGCAGCACTCACAATACACTTAGACCGAGGAAGCGACAGACAGATTGTGGTCCTTGTGAGGTGTATTACCACACCTGTTCCCACCTGGTCCCACCAGCAGCGCCCGCTATATGCTTATTCAGAGGAACTGGAATTCCAAGGGAAAGGGTAGGAAGCGGAGGGGAAGGGCGGAGGGGGAAGGTGGGGGGGGGTGCCAAAACCCTCCAGAAGTCCCACATGGCCTGTGATCGAGCCACCAGCCCTTAGACACACGCAAACGACAAATCGTGGTCCCCTCTTAGGTCCATCGAGCAGCACTTGTAAGACAATTAAACCATGACTACCAGACATAAGGGGGGTTCCAAGCCCCCC